ACGAGTGGATTTTGGATCTCTAGTTCATCAACATAAACATAATACATTTTTATTTATGACATCCCCCCCCCATACCAAATTCCTGCGCACGCCACTGCACCTACCTATGTTTTTTAAAAGCATGTGAAGTATTACACGTGGTGCGTTTTTTTTGTTATTATGGTGTCTCTGTAGGCCTAAATTCACATGGTAAGCAAAAAGACGTGAACGCCGGTCGAATATAATAATATTATTATAATTTAAATGAATAAGTACTGAGAAAACTGCACTTCTCGCCGTATAACATAATAGGTATGCGTTTTATACGTTAATTTAATAGAGATAATATTTTAATATAAACAAATAAATATTGACCTTGACGTTTAATATGTTTCATATGTTTTAATTTTAAATTATAAATTTTGTCGCAGCACGGCATTCGCAAATTTTCARCTTATTAGCGTTTAATTGTATTGTTTTTCAGTTTCTGTAAAGGTGCGCTAAGCCGTTGGCTTTGAGGGGTTAAGTCCAAGAAGAGCAAAAATGGGTTAAAATATTACGGGTGCTTATACAGGTTTCGTATTAGAAACTAGGTAAAAAATGTTGTGGGTTTCGCGTTTCGTTTTAGAAACCGGGTAAAAGATGTAATGGATTTTGTGTTCAAAATCGGGTAAATGATTTTATGGGTTTGCGTTCAAACCTGGGTAAAAGATTTTATGGGTTTTGCATTCAAAATCGGTAAAATATGTTATAGGTTTTGCGTTCAAAACCGAGTGCAATATTGTTTGAGGGTTTCGCGTCCGAAACCGGGTACAATATTCACAACATTGTTTTGCTGGTTACGGAGTATAGGTCCATTTATTGGCGGATTTTGGATTTTGCGTTCAAAACCTGGTTAAATGTTTTTCGGGATGTTCGTTTGTACTCCCTGAACTTATAACATGCATACGATGGGGTTGGAAATAATGAACATGAATAATATTCTAACTTGTATACCACTACTTGGAGAATATAAATTTAAATTATCTATATATAATATGTGGGTATAAGAATAACAGTAGTTTTAAATAATTTAAAGGATGGTAGCCCTTCTTCGGTTATTTATTTAAAATTCAACATTGTCCTATAATAATATAACTATATTATTATTATATTTATCATATTTTTACTTTATAATATATTATACCTGCCTATTTTATTTATTATCATTTAGAGATCACCAAAGTCATAAGAAATTTCTTAGTATCCAACCGTCCAACCACTCACTATTCATATTGGACTTCTCAATAATTCAATCTGTCTTAAATGTCACAAAACTCATTCATTAACATTTGTTTACGGTCATGGAATGAAGTGTTTATTTTGAGTACCTATGTGTGACGCCGACCGGCGATAGTGCGTGTTGTGTATGGTGTTGATATGAAATTGTGAGGGGACAATATTAAAAAAAAATGACTATTATATGAGATCATATTTCTGTGTATTTCGCTGTAAGCAATTTTCATTCATATCTACTAATTCACTCAAATCTTCTATAGACACCGAATTACAGTAATTATCATCTACTATATGATCACAGCTCACAGGTCCTTTTCTTAGTCTAACAAATAATTTTAAAATTATGGTACTTATAATATTATAATAAAACTACTAAAATAATAAATATAGATTCTAAAAATACTCAATAGGTGTACTTATAAGTTATAGTACGTAGCAAATAAATAGTAACTAAATAACATATAATTAGTAATTACTAATTACCCTAAATACATATATTTACAAAATTTAAAAATCACCATACTTGGATTAGACGTCTAAACTCAGCTGCTCTGATCAAGACTTATATCATACTGTCACTTGGACTTAGTAACTTTTCTAAAAAACTTAACAGTGTTGAAACATTGAGGCGCATAAATTATTTTCGGTCTATGTTCTAAGAGATAAAGTCCTTTATTAATAATTACATTCAATGTTGATCTGTATGAATCTGAAAAAGTGCAATGAATTAATGTTGAATATAAAAAGAACTAATAAYTCACAAATGAAAAATAAATAAAGTTTAAAAGAATCTTATATAACTTTTAGAAATAAAAATTAAAACAATTATCGAAAAAATATAAATACTATTAACGATATTAAAAACTGTTGTATATATTGTACAAATTTATTTTCATTTTAATTAAAACGGTAATAATAATTATAAGAAAATTAATGAAAAACATAATAGGCTATAGGCACCTACTATTTAGCCACCATATGCATATATATTATTTATTATAATTTTTTAACTTGTTTGTATATTTTGTTCGTTTTATATTATGTTTGTGACCAATACACATGCTAACAAGAAAAATTACCAAATAGATATATGGCCCTCCATTAGGACTTTCCTTAGAGCTTAAAGCGAATCGAGGTCAATAAAATTTCACAATGTCAAAATTTTAGTTTATTTAGTTTGGGTATCCATAATGCATTTGCTATAAATAGTATTGTTGAAATACGTAAAATATGTGAAAATTCGATAGTACTCGAATATTTCTTTGAATATTTACTAAAAATACTTATCTTTAATTATCTAAAACTATGTTATATTTCCATCTTGTAAAGTTGTAACTGTATTAGTATATATATAAATGTGTGTATTATGTAAGTGTTTTACAAAACTTTCACCTGTCAATTATTGTGAACGATAAGAATGTTATTAACGTTGTACACAAAAGTCAATTTTAGTAGCTATAATACATATATTATATTTATAAAAGTAAACCGACTCCGGGGAGGTTTATCTTATATAAATATAGTGGTGTACGTATGACGAGTGCAGGCGAGTTGCCTCCATTGCCACGACTGATTGATCGTATTTATTCATCTTTATATGAATGCGAAAATGTTTGGAATTCCGATCATGTCTTCCGTAAACGTATGCAAATTATCTACCTACAACATCAATAATATTCGTGCTGTGACGTGTATACTGTTGCGAAAAAATATGCCAAGTAAATCGCAAATGTATATCATCACATAATTCATTCATCGATTTATAACGCCATAACTTTTTTAGTCAACTCTCAGCTGCCGTTTGCTACAGCCATTGTAATTAATTTTTAAGTTCACTTTAGCTGTTGACCTTCGTGACCATTGTTGTGGCACCGCTTTGAATTACCGAATTGGCGAATTACGTATATTATACACATATTTTTTTTCATCAAATATAATACTGATGGAAATAGTAGCGAATACCAACTATTAATCTTTGTACATTCGTGATATTCATCACCACTTCTCTTATTTAATGATGTTTATTGAATGATTTTACAATAGTATTAAAATCGCTTACGTTCGGTATTGATTTTTTTTTTCAGTTATACTCTTTTCAATTAACTAAAGTACTCTAACCCAGTATTTCATATAAACAGTGTTCCACGAATAATTCGTAAAGGTTTTATTACCCGCTTAAGACTTCTACCTGATTTTTTTTAAATTTAAATTGATTTTTACTTTTCCAAATGCTATTAATAATGTAACCCATGATAAAAAGCCAATATGTTACAATTATTGCTAAAATCAGTCGATCATATATTATAAAATGTTTTAGCGTAAAAGATTAATAATGGTTGTTGATATATTAATTCAATTTTAAAATGTATAATATGATTAGTGTATATGCTAGTGGTAAGCAACCTGAGGGGTCATGACTTTTTAGTAAAGCGTAATAATTGAACGCTAAATGAAAACGCGTATTTCAATTTAATTATGTATTTTTTTTTTTCGGTAGTTGTATTTTTACTATTTACTATTTTGTTTTTAACTTGCTTATATCAATGGGAGGGATGAAGATCAACTCATAAAAAGTAAATTTTTGAAAGTCTAGGCATAAAATAGAATAAAACACAGACAATAAAAAATAGTATAGCACCCCATCGACAACCATGAACATGCTTCCTATTACAAAGAATAGGAATACCCGAGATATGTGACATTAGTCAGTATCAATGCTACTCAATGAACATCAGAGCAATCATACTTAAAGCAAATATTAAAAGGTTTATAACATTAAATATCAATCACGTGACACGTTCCATCACGTGGATGCACTGTGCGTTACCCTAGTAACGACGGGAAAATAATTCAAGAGCCCGACGATTGACTAAAATAATAATACATATAATATACTCTGTTGTCAATAACAATAATCGAGTAAGCACCCTAATAAAATATATTCGAGCATAATAATGTAATACATTGTAGCACCGGATTATACCCATAATAGCTACAAGTTACAACAATAAAAAGGCACAAATTATAGAATAATATGGAGTGCGTTGATGTGGTGGAATGCGATTCGGGTGTCCAAAAGGTGGATCAGACAGAGCTTTTAGACGTGATGGTGCTCAAGACGTGCGGACAATTGGTATTTGAATTATTCGAGAGGTTTGGAAACAACGACGAGAACTCGACGGGTGGTGACACCTGCAGTAACACTACGATATCGTCGACTGCCACCGCGGACAACAGTGATGGATTGTCGAATAGCAGCGTGGGAGACACGTACCACGACGTGCTGATGGTCCGCAMTTTTGACAAGTTGTACGACGTTATGTCACAAGACCTGGAAAAAGTCAACCCATGTTATCAGACGCCACCAAAACTTCAGCTTTATCATAAGTTAAAACATTTCGTGTGCTWTTATCGGTTGCATCAGATCAACAGGTATTGAAGAAAAAAATTAAATTGCTAAACGTAATTAAACATTCGTACCCGTAAATTATAATTTACTTTAACACGATTTTCAATATTTTACTTCTTGTATTAATTATAATTTTTTTTTTAATTATCAAGCATAATTAGTTGTTTGGTTGCATAGATATTTAATAAATAATTAGTTTGATCTAAATAAAAAGTGATATCGTCGATTCCGATAATTTGGTTACTTCAATTTTTCAATGTCAAGTGCTATAGTCGAATAAAAATAGGTGTTATTGGAGATCATGGTCTATAATAAATACCAATATATAATAATATGTATAAGTGCCATCGATTTTGGTTTGCCTAACAAACAATGATGTCGCAAATATGTTATAAATAATTATAGATATGTTTTCGGAGACGAACCCTATCAGAATTGGGGACCAGACTCTACGGATGCACTGACAACGGTCCGAAAATGGCGACTAAAATTTGTTGACGAAACAAAAGTGATGGGCGATCTGATGAAAAGTTATAAAATGGCAGCCACWAACAAAGAACTGCATTCATATGAAGTCGCCATGGTCGCGTTTGCCGTTTTTGGTTTTTTACTGTAAGCCAATTTCAAATCATGTGATAGGTTCTGTTTTGTAACGCTCTAATTTTGTGGTTTTATTTTCTGTTTTCAGAGGATACGATGTCTCAGTTGATTACAACATTTTGTTTATGTTTCATCACATTGAAAACATTKTCGAACCACTAACTTTTCAACATGTTCACAATTCCGTGCTRCGGAACGCTAGGTTATTTTTGGAAAATCACGCTTCTGAAGAAGACGAAATATTTTTTGAATCTTTGGCTGAAAATGAAGGTATCGTAGCCATATTTAATTGGATATTTGATTTGTTGACTGAGCAGCCAGAGGCCATTGACAAATTCACCGGTAACCCTTTCCAAAGTGTTGAATGTCAAATTTACGACGTCAATGGAAAAAAAATGGCTCCCAGTTACATCATAAAGTTACGAGTGTTTTATAGATGGGTTTTAATGGAATTTTTTGAATTATTGAGGTATAATATTTTTATTTCATTTTTAATAAATTCCCAAAATATATCATCCAATTTGACCATAAGCTTTTTAGTTTTAAAATTAATATTAAATTATTTCTATTCATTTTATCATTTTATTCTCCATTCTGTGGTTCATGTCTTTTTTGTACATAGCATGACTTTCAATTTTTGTTCGATATGTTTATGAAAAAATGTTACCTATATTAAAAAAAAAATAGTAAATTTAACATTTCTAGAGCCTGTAATATAATATTATATAATAAGAATTATGGTTTTATAGAATTTGCTCTGATTATATATACAATACTATAATCATATTACACCTATATTTTTATGCAATTATAGGTTACCAATAATTAAATTTTGTATATTTTATCAACATTTAGTGGTAGACTTCGAGATCGAATGTCATTATTGGATTACCAAGTCAAACAGTGTCTGTGTTGCCTAAGCGAAACATCCTGGTTGAAATTATTTGAAAACGTTTATATGTACGCGTTGAAACATTTCACAACGATCCTCAGTGAATACAATTGTCCAGAACATATGTTGAAAACTTTTCGCGATATGTGGGAAAATGAAACGTTAAAAGATATCATCATGTTTTGTGTAAGTAAACAGGTTGACGACAACACCTATCTAAAGCATCGGGATAGTTCTACGGATTCGAACGAGAGCCTTGGATCGTCTTAGTATAAAGGTCAAATAGCCAAAATTTAGTCGAAKAGTTCAAGTAAAATCAATTGACAGACCCTTGTTTGATTTATAAAAATAAATTATTATTTGCTATAGTATACTTTTAAATAATTTAATAATTATGTGTCAAACTCTTCATTTATGTGATATTTTTTTTTTTACAACTTGTAGTTTGTTATATAAGTACGCAATTCTCAGCTGTAATCGTCTTTTGATCCTTAAAAGTTTTACCTCTTGCATCATTATTAATTTGTCCTGTATAAGAGTTTCAGTTCTGCAGCTGGGCGTCTCAGGAAATGTCCAATCATTTTCCAATGCCTTGTGGTTTCGTTGAAAAACCCGCCCACGTATGAATGTAATAGCTATTAACAGCTAGTTTTAATAAGTATACCTCTTCGTTTGTTTTCTTCTGTGTATCCCACTTATTCTTTCCATAYGCTTCCAGCATAACTACATTTCAATTTTCAATATTATCATATTAACTTATACCGTATAAACATGCATATTGTATTTATATAGACTGTAGAGTATATTATATTTAGAGAGAGAGAGAGAGAGAGAGAGAGAGAGAAAATTATGCGTTTAAACACATAGCTATAATGTAATTATTATAGCAGAAAAAAAAGTCGTAGCCAACAATTTTCCTGGTCAACGCGTGCACGGTGATTTGCTCTGTGCTCACGTCTCATTTTGGTTTAATATTTTGCGGGCAGCAAATTATTATTTTTGTGCGAATGTGTTTAATGATGACCGGCGTCGGTTCGATTGTAATTGGATACAGGACGAAAATCGGATGTTTCCGTTCCGTCCGATCKATACAATATAACACGTGTTGGCGGCTATGTGCTTAGTAGTATAATATAATATGCGCATAACGCATTATATCCGAATCGGTTTCTGGTGGTTTTTGTCGCCTTCAAAACCCGATCACAGAGATACCGATCGACTATATTACATGCGGCGGCGGCGGCACGGTCGGCGATATATATGGTGGTACCGACGCGATTTGTTTCGCACGGTGCACTCCTTAAAAGATACGAGTTACGAGTAGGTGGAGCGAATTCACAAAAGATTAATTGTCGTAAACGGCCGGCCGAGTCACGGGGATAATGTACGTCCTCTGTCTCACTCTCCGCCCCTATATATAGATACGTACTATATATGTATAATACATAGTATACGACATGTACGATATGATATTATCCGTCTTTATCGTCTCTTTAATTCTCCGCATTCGGGCGTCGTATGCGTAGTATATATATTATATATACGTATATGACGAGAGATAAACCTTGAAGGAGGCCTCCACACCGGGTGGTTAAATTTTCTGACCGAGAGATATCCGGGGCGGAGATCTTAATTTTGCGCGGGCGACGACATATCAATATATATTTGTGTATTGTGCTGCGTGTGTTGTCGGCTTCTTTTTAGGGCTCCGAAAAAATATTATCAAATAATATATAATATAATGAAATAACATAAAGAACGGACAAAATAATAAAACACCATAGTACGGCCGTCATCGTTGTCGGTGCCGCCACCGCCACTGCCGTCGTCGTGTGTTATTATTATATTATGTACAAATGTCCGTAAGATATTCGATATAATGGCGACAAACGTGTAAAGTCACGGAGCGGCATGCGGCGGCCCTTTTATTGTCATTACACACACACACACGCCGCKTACCGACCCGATGACAATTCAATCGCGACATCAAAAACTACCGCGACAATGAGCGTCGTCGTCGGCGTGAGGTGAGTTCTTGTTATACATATTATATTGTATATATATATTTATATGAAAATAAGAATAGGAAAAAATCACATTTGTATAATAAGTGTGAGCACACACACACACGCGCATATTTATTATTATAACGTGAGAATTCCGGTCGGTTGGTCGAAATATAATATATAAYATGATAATGTCATATTATATTATTATATAAAACGACTCGCTTACTATGTATATGTATATTATATAAGCGAGTATAATGTACCTATACATATATACGCACACGCCCACCGACATAAATACTCGGCTAATTTGCCTCGATCACAATATATACCTTTACCGAGGTTAGGGTATACGGTATATTATTATATATGCGTACCTACGTACCTACGTATATATATATAGTATATTATTATGGTTTGTCGGTTTGTGCGACCAATAGACAAACGTGTCCGGGTGAGGAAYGAACAGTGGCGGCTGCGTCGGCGGCGGTGGCAGATCTGGTTTAACGTCGCCGACGACGTACGTGTTGTCGTCACTGGACATTGTGATTATATATTTTATATTCTATAAATAATTGTACGACGTCGAGAATGTTATAAATATGCAAACGAGGTGATGGCTTACTCTAKACTCTAGAGAACTTGCACGCCGCCGCCGCTGATAACTGTATACGTCGTGCACTCATGCTAGTATTATACGTACATTAATATCGTAATATGTGAATGGGTGCAGCTACACACTCATTGGCACACATATATATACATAATGTGCTGGGTGGGTTGTGAGTCAACGGGTGAACCCTGATCAGAGCTTAATAATTGAATTAATTTGTATTAAGTAGGTAGTATGGTGTATTGTGTATATATATATATATATATATATATATATCAAACAGAAATTATTAATTCAATTAATATTACAGTCCTATTACTAAATTGACTTAGCGGTTGGAGTTTGTTATATATATATATATATATCAAACAGAAATTATTAATTCAATTAATATTACAGTCCTATTACTAAATTGACTTAGCGGTTGGAGTTTGTAAAAACATTGAGAATCGTGTGCTTAATATTATTATTATTATTGTGTAGTTAATTGTTCATAATTTGATCAAAGTAATATGTAATTCTTAACATTAAGATGCAAATCAAAAATAGAATAGACGAATGTTCGGTAAATCAACTATTTTAATTAGATCATATTTAAAATGATATATTAGGCTCTAATAATTTAAGTATGAATAACTTCAATTATTTGGTTCTAGATTTAAGGTATATATTATTATAAGTCTTACAARAGTCATGAATAATTAATTATTTTTACCTATTCCGTAGATAATAAGTACCTAAAGTACCACACCTATTTGCAATTTTTTTAAATTATTGTTTATGTATGACTTTAATTTTTAATTAGGCAAAACATTTATCATCACTTTTCCACTATATAGATAGTGATGGACTTAAATTTATCAATTCGTAATTTATTTTAACATATTTTWATTTATTCTAAGTACTTATACTACCTATATCTATATTTTAGCCACAAACTTCTTTTTTTTTTTTAAAGTATAAAATTCATAATTATGTTGATAAACGCAACATATACATATGTTTCATAAGCGGTTGGTACTAAAATCAAAAATAAGTACGAAAACGGTAGTACTTATGAAATTCATAGAAATCGGTAGCCAAATAGCAATAAAATCATTGTATTATAGTATTACACATAACTGCAGTAGCCCGAGGATAGGCAACACATGTTGTTGTGCTACAGCGCATTGTATCGCCACATAATAATAATATATCATATAATGTTATAGTTGCACGGCACTCAATAAATCAAATCAAGTACCAACCATATGCCAATAATTATGTACAACGCATTAAAAAGTTTAAGCCTCAAATAGTGATAAAATTCCTCATACATTCCATACGTTATATATTATTTATAAGAATAATGTTCTGAATTTGAAATATTTCAATTGAYATTTTTCAAAATTAAAAATTTGATTCAGCATATTATTATATTTTAACAATATTGTGAACAATTATTGAGAGAATGCATTTCAGAATTTTTCTTTTGTTAGTAACTAGTAAGTATAGGTACTAAGTATAGTAATTATTAACTACCAAATTAATAATAAATACACATTTACAACACTATTATAATTTTATAAATATTTAATTTAAATCGATTACCGAAMAATATTAAGTATAACAATTAACAAATGCTGAATAACAAATATTAAACATAATCATTTTTTTATTTAAAATTTTAAATGTGTTATGAGTTATTCTCATGAATTGTGTCTTAATGAAGTTATTTAGTTAAATTTAAATGAGTTTTMTATATAGATGTATAAACTATAARGTAACATATTATTACATATGCCTGATCAAGTGTTTACATTGTAATATTATATAAATTTATCTTCGTTTCAACTACATACATTATACATATACTTATATGCTGGATAAAGTCAAATATTCATCGCAATAGCAGTGATAATAAGTTTATTATATTTGAACATATTATAATTAAAGTAACTTTATATTATATGTTAGTCCTAATGTTATATATATATATATATATACAGGGTGTCCCGCGAGGATTTACCCATTTTGATATCTCCCGAAATAATGGAGATATCGAAATTATGGTTTTGTATTAAGACTGACAGGGACAAAAACAACAATTATTTCATATTTTAATGTTTTGGTAAAAAGTTAAAAATATATTTTTTTATTTAATTATTTCCAAAAAAATCAACTATAGCCATTTTGTAGAGTTTATTTTTCTGAAAATATTGACATTTCAAAATTTTATTTATATCTATAGTCAATTTTTTTGGAAATTATTAAATAMAAAAATACATTTTTAATTTTTTACCAAAATATTTAAATTTAATTTAAAAATKAAATAAATATAGTTCTCATCCCTGTGAGTCTTGTAACAAAACCAGAATTTTTATATCTCTATTATTTCGTGAGATATCACAATGGGTAAATTCTCATGGGACACTCTGTATATATCTTCTCATTGCGCTGGCGTCTATATAGTATTATTCAAAACCAAGAGTTTTCGCTGCTATCAGTATACCTATCCCTCCACTTTTCACTATTTTTAACTAGTGTTATGCAGCTTATGCTGCTCTATTAAATTCTTATTTTCTTTCTAGACCATCTTACACTACGTCTAACCATCTCTTTCTAGACCGACCACCAGATATCTTCCCACTAAAATTTCCATTCAAGCA